TTGCGATCAATAGACATTGACACGAGAAACCAAACCCGCTAGATTTAAATAGCCAGTAACAGCCACCGCTGTTATCGAACAGTCTATAATCCCACCCACTCTATAATCCCCTCTCACCCAAAGCGGTACTAACTGCAGTGGAAAAGCAACCGAGCTAAAGCGAACCAAGCCGTGCCGTGTAGAGCCGAGTCGTACCACACAGTTGAAAAGCAAAGCGAGCCGAACTGTGCCGCACCGAGCCGAGTCGTACCGAGCCATACCAGCAGTGGAAAAACGCCAGATGATACCAGATGACGTATGTAGAGCGACAGAAAATTAGACAAGGAAAAAGACGATGGGTCAGAGATTTAGGAGATTTAACGTACGCCTGGTGTGGCTGCAGGTTTGGGTAAATAAAAGCCGGTCTCAAATAGACGTCGGGTCTGTTTTTTAGTTCAGGGTTGTTAATCTTCTAAAACCGTCAGATCGTCCGCTTTTTGGCGGCCGTCAAAGAAAATTTTTGTCTCGCCAAAGCCTATTTTGATCAGTGAGTGATGTAGAATAGAATGACTGCTGCGCTTGACAGGGCGCATAATAAGCAGAGAGAGAGAGCGAGAGAGAGAGAGAGAGCGCCCCCTCATGTCTTCAAACACGAGCGCTGTCTTGGTCTCTCTCCCTCGCGCGTATTAATCAAATCAACTGACACGATGGTAAAAGGTTGGAAGACCGCAGTTTCACGTGGAGCATTTGGAGATTTTTAGAGATTAGAAACTCAATGAACAACATCTCAACACTAAATTATAAAGGCCGGTCTCATAGACGCCAGTCTCAAATACAAGCCGGAGCAGTTCGACGATTTAGGAAAATAAAAGTCCGGGCTATTATTTGAAGTTTTACAGTATGTATACACAAAGGCTATATCAAAGGTAACTTTGCATCCACTGCCAAGATGGATCCATAAACAAACTGCTTCAGTGTCGCATAGACGTCGTCATCGTCTTGCCACTCCCTCCCCGTTCTGTGATTGGTTCCCTATCTCAGGGGAAAATTTGGTTCATGGTGTCCAGTAGGGCTGGGTGTTGTTAGGTATTTCACAATTCGATTCGATTTCAATTCTTGAGGCTTCGATTCGATTCAATATTGATTTATTAGCTTCAATATCGATTCAATAATAAGTAAATACACAAGTAATTAAGTGCCTGAGTATATTTTTAAGTAATGTGCGCAGTTTTAGCAATGTTAAAGAACAAATTGACCCCAGCATGTTTGTTTCCTGTCATGGTTTATTTGGCAGAATAAAAATGTACAATATTGTATGTGTTGAATACAAACACAACGGTGACAAGCACTGTACAGTGCTTTATCAACACCTCTAAAGTGCATGTAACTAAGTAGTAGAAAGTATATTTCTTTCTTCCTAAACATTCAAGTTATAAAAGAAATGTAAACACAAGCACAAAATGTGCATACTCAAAAAAAGTCTAATATTATATTATAATTTTGTAAACAATAACACTTAACAGCTGATCACACTTAACAGCAATTGCGAGTTATCAGCCCAATTCTAAGGGGGGGAAAGACTTTCCTTTTCGCTCTCAGAATAATTTATATCTCACTATTATGACTTTATCATGCATTTCTGACTTTATAACACGAAATTACGACTTTATATCAGGCAATTCTTACTTTATATCCCGCAATTGTGACTTTATATCACGCAATTCTGACTTTATATCTCGCAATTCTGACTTATATCTCGCGAATCTGAGAGATACAGTCAGAATTGCGAGATGTAAACTCACAATTGTGAGAAAAAAAGTCAGAATTGTGAGATAAAAAGATGCAATTACCTTTTTTATTTTCCATTCTGTGGCGGAAACAAGCTTCCATAGTTCCCGGCTTACAGTGGAATCCAAAATGAGCCCAAACGTCGGCTTTTAATGTTGGTGCAGGATTGAATCAGGCTTGAACGCCTGCTTGAACAGAGTGCAGCTGCTGTCCGTCATCGCGCTGTTTTGCTAAAGCGCGACTTCTACAACACTGAACGCTCTCACTAGAGTGTAGCCCACAGCGCCGCCACTGGCCTGGATGGCTGAATCGATTCATAGGATTTTATGAAAGCGATATTGAATTGAGAAGCAAAAAATTGCAATGCATTGATGAATCGATATTTTTACCCAGCCCTAGTGTCCAGGCTGCCTAGCAGCATTATTAAAATCGCACTGCGGCAAGGCAGCATGGGGAAACCCAGGCAGAGGAATTGTGGGAATGTCAATTTACATTTTTTTCCACTGTAAATTAAAACCTGATGAGTTAGTTCAACTCAAACCGTTTGAGGAAACCGATTGCCTTAAATCATTTAAGTTTATTAACTCAAACAATTTAAGCATAACAAATTTTTTGATTTGTTTCCAAGTAACTCAATAAATTATTGTTAAGATAACTTGGGTAAATAAAGTTAATAGTACTAATTAGTTACTATAACTTAAATCTATGAAGTACACTGTAAACCCAAATAAGTTGGCAGAACTCAAATCACTTTTAATAGTATAAACTTAGTTATCTTTAATAGCTAATCTGTTGATGTAGTAAATGCTAACATATTAGAAACAGTATGTTGTAATCACTTACAAGCACAGAAGCACTTGCTGTATGAGCGTAATAATATAAAGGGATAATCTGCTCTTAAATCAAGCTGAATGCACCACTTGTCACCATGATGGTAACTATCCTAAAGCCAACAATAACAGAAATTCTTCTAAATTAGCCTAACAAAACATTAATCACTACTTAATCTCACACTTAACATTAATCTTACACAAAAAAAACATTATAATTTTAGCATTTACACTCTCTTTCGAGTGCCATCGGCAAAGCATGCTGGGAAATAGATATCCCAGCCGTTTCAGTTAAACTTAAGTTCGTCTAAATTAAAATAAATAATTTCATACAACTCAAAACAATGAAACAGTTCAGTTTACTTAAAATATATCAGTTCTGTGAACTTGAAAGAAAAAGAAAGTGCTAAATACTGATAAAAATTAATTTGACTGAACTAATTCGTTGAATTTAAGTTTGTCCTACTCAAACCAATGAATTATTTTGACCGTTAGGGTTTACAGTTGACTTGCTCTTTTTCGCTTCCAAAAACTGTAAATTTAACGGTATTTACAGTAGAATTACATTAAATGTACCATTATATGTCAGAGTTATTGACCATAGGCTATATAGTAAGGAAACTTTTCTGTTGACCAATTAACAGTTTTTCACTCGTCTTTTACCGTTAAAATCATGACAGTGTAGGAGAAAAGTCCTAGCAAATCACAAACCATCACTGGTGGAATGAAGCAAGACAATGTCGTAGACAATTCACACTTTTTCTACATTTATTACTCATTATTTCCCAATACCTGAATTCGCTGAATTCCCTATCCTTCCTCTTTAAAAGAGGAAGGATAGGGAATTCAGCGAATTCAGGTATTGGGAAATAATGAGTAATACATTTTAAAAAAGTGTGAATTGTCTATCCTTTGGACATAGCAACCGGACAATAGTGATTAAACTCCAATTCACAACTTTACGAGCCAGAGTGATTCAGAAGAAATGTGACTGCAGTGATATTGGTACACATTCACTTTATGTTTAAAAAAGAGACACTTGGTTAGCCATTGTGTTTAAATCCCATAGCCTTATATTGAAGACAATCTGACCCATAGAGACCAAAATATCTTAAAATAACAACACCTTAGCAATTACTATTACCCTAAACAATACATGTCAAATAAGGACATGCTTCCCCCATAAAACAGTCCTTCCTTGTGCCATTTTTTGGGTGTTGGTCATTTGCAAAAAAACAAAGAACATTTGCTTATAACCTTTTATAATCGTTTAATGTCAGTAGGCTATCAGAAATACATCTGTGTGGAGTACAAGGCCTGTGATTAGTGTTTATGGAGGTATTAAACATGATATCAGGTGTCAGACTGTGAAAAGAAGCTCTCTTCACACAAAATAACAAGTTAGTGTGTTAAGTATTAATGAAGTCTCTCGCTCATGACAGGTTTACACATCGCATAAGCAATTGAGTAGAGCAAAACATCAGCAATGGATAAAAAGGACAGGAGGGGTTCGGTCTCATGGGAAATCCAACACAGAAATTCATGAGAAATTCATGAGAAATCTCATACATGTGGTTATTCGTATTTTGTATTAGGCTACAACAAAAAGTGTAATAGAGAAGCAAGAGAAACTTATCAAGCAAACATCTTCATTTTCAGGGATTATTCAGGACTTTTAGGCCAATGATGATTCCAACAAACCACATCTAGAGGAGGCTTTTCCAGCTATACAACTTTATATAAGAAACCTGTGGAATTTGAAGCTGTCAAACACGCCTCGGTATTGTATTCAACGCCTTACGTCTTAGGACATGTCTCTTGGGTCAACACAGAGAGCCGGTTTGGTGTCAATTCCAACTGGATGTAAGTTCTAGTACACGCTTGTTCTGCTTGGGTCAGACTCGCTGTGTTTGTTTTGAAAAGTAATGGGGAGTGGAGTGGAAATTTCAGGCGGGTCTGAATCTGTGGGTCACTGTGACTGTGGTGCACTTCTAAAATGTTAGTTGAACCTGTTCAAAGTTACTGAATTCTGCAAGAACACCTGTGTAAACCTGAAGGGAAATGACTTCAATTGTAATTAAAATAGCCCTGAGAATATTTTTTGAGAACATTTAGTTTGCTATTGACATTCAAACATTTTGGGGGGCTTTTTGGGGGCAACTGAACGGGATAATAATTTATGATTGTCTTGAAATCGACTGATTATTCAAAATAAACACACTTGAAAGTAGTTTAAATGTTCAGCTCTCTACTACCTATAGGCTATGTCTCGACAAACAACAATCACTCATATATTAATCGAACTTTGTTTCGTTGTCTTGTGTAATAAACAATATGTTACAGATTAATAAACAGAGTGCATGCCCCCCCTACATTCGTAAGCAAAGCAAACATGTATCTTACTTTTCAGTGCTTGAATTAAAGCTTTCCCATCCTTGATCAGCTCCTTGATGAACTTATTGGTCTTCTCTAATTCCATTTCATGAGACTTCAGCCTCTCTCGGAACTGCGGGCTGTCCAAATAGCAGTCGCTGAACTCTAACGCAGGCAATCCCATTCTTTCTCCAGATCGGTCCAAGACAAGAGAGGAATGCAATGCAGATGCAACTCAACCGCAACTTTAACTAATAATAAAAGGCATAGAAGTGGAAACTACATCGCTGTAATCGGAAACGGATGCAGTCTGACAAAAATCACAAGTGCATCTCTTCAACAAAGCCTCTGCTGGACAAAAAATACTTGAAGCGATCTGTCTATCAAGGGAATCCACGGAATACCCGTGCGCTTCTCATGACGACGTCATTATGTTCGTCTGTAGGGTGACGATAAAACAAAACGCGGTAATTGCGTTCTCCAGCTTGGGCGTTTTTAAACGCGTCTGTACCAACCTACCATGAAGCGGATAATCCTGTGATTGGCATGTCTTTCGGCCAATGGGGTCGGAGCGGGCGGTGAACGACGGGATAAGAACGTGATTGGTTGGAAGGTCAAGAGCGATGATGTCACGATGTGAGGATTTCATAGTTCATTTGACACATTTTCCAATCCATTTTCCCACTGTAAAACCCATTGTAAAAATCTATCTATCTATCTATCTATCTATCTATCTATCTATCTATCTATCTATCTATCTATCTATCTATCTATCTATCTATCTATCTATCTATCTATCTATCTATCTCTTATTTTTGTAGTGCACAGATTAATTTACGAGCTCCACACTGTAAAAAAAAAAAGTTACTGCCTTCCAAATCAGCTTGGATCTTTAAGTAATTTCAACTTAAATTACCCTACATTAAAACTGACTTTAAAAAAATGAGTTGAATTTTATAACTAAAAAAAAAGTTTAAAATTGCTTAAATTACAGTATAATGATGAGTTTAAGTGACATAAAAACACACAGACAGGGTCAGACTTTTTTTCTGAACCATCCTGAATTCCTTGCTCCCATTTTACTCCAGGGTTTGTCTCACTTAAATTACAGTCAGAATCTTGTTCAAACCTGTCAGCATCTCCTGAAGCCATTTAAGGCAATGCTAATGAAAAGCACAGATATTTATAACACACACAGAAAGAAGAACCGATACCATATTGCCATCGCTGCTGGGGAAGTTCACTTTGTGGTTGCTAGGCCTATATAGCAGGCTGTATTGACATAGGCTATTGTTTCAGAAAGAAAGGAAACTTGTTGAATCGTGTGCAACGAGAGTCTGGGTGTGAGTATATCTTAATATCATAAGAACTGCCTCATATCTTTTCATACCTGCTGGTCTTGTTATTAATGAGTGCATTTGTCCAACACAGCTGTCTGCATCTCTGATGTGGAGAACACTGCCACCATGTGTCTAAAAATGGACATAAATTATATTGGGTAAGAATAAGTATAGGCTACCAAGCACGGCAACACTTTACTTGAAGGGGTGTGCTGACATGACACCTTCATAACCATGATATGACATATGTCTTGAATATGATGTAAGGTTTATGCATTTTTATGACAACTGTCATTAGGTCATTTGCTCAATTATGACATTTTGAATGCAATTATGACATTGTTTAAGATGTCTTTGACATGCGCTGCAACTTTGCAGATACTGTTCATGCACCAACAGCAACATTACACGCTATTTAAAATGAAAAAAGTGAAATTGCAATTCCCCCCCCCCCCCTTAAATTGTTTCCACATTCAGCTACGAACGTGACAGTCAACACAAAGGAACTTCTGTAGCCTGATTACGAAAAGTAAGTCATGTCGTCTTTATTTATATAGGCCTATTACTTATAACATGTATTGTGTACTGAGACGTTGAATATATTCTAAAACTGAATTTTATATATTTAAAAAAAAAAAATCAAAGTTCCCTTTAGTCCATTTTAATCATCTCCGGAAAGTGAAATCGATTGGAAATGAATCCTAGCTATATCCCAGTTAGCTCGCTAGCATAAAGTAATTAAAACATTATTTTAGTGAACCCGTTAAGAGATGTACTAACGTTACCTTTCTACAGTGATAAACTTGGTAACGTTAGGTCTAGTCTGAAATCACTTTTTAGCATTACGACTGTTATTGTGGCGTATATTACTCAAATTAAACCACCCAAACAACTAAAACGCCACAGCAGGCTGAAACATGAGGATTCACACTGAAGACGCGTCACGCTGAACCGTATTGAGTCTCTTTATTACACTATTTCACAAACATAAACAACCAATCACTTACTTTGAGCGATGCATGTTGTAAGCAGTGCAAAGGTACCTCAGAGACATCAGTAACGGATGTTAGTGATGATAACATTGGTGGGAAAAACAGTGGTAAAGCCAGTGGTGACGGTCAACAAAAAGTTTCTCCCCATGCTCACCCTGCAGCCATGATCCAAACCCAAGCTTGCGCACAGGTGAGCACACTCACACATTAATACAGACATCGCACCCCCGGTAACACCCACAGTCACCGATGACGTCACCATGCGCGTGCATGTACACAAGAGTGTAAGAAAAAGAGAAAACATAATAAAAGCCCAAACAAAACCCAGTGTATGGCTCCTACATTCCGGCCCCAAATTATTTTATAATAATAATTGACCACCATTACAAACCTCTTGTGGGAGACAAACACCAGTCAGAAATGCAAATTGAAACGTCATTCCTTTAAAAGTCCTGATAATGTCAAAGTTCATGTCTAATATATCCAAGGGTCTTCACTGCTCCTCTGCTTCCAGCACATTTTCGTCCGAAACAGTATCCACGATTCTTCCTATAATCCACGCATTACGAGGTGCCATATCATCCACCAGCACCACAAGATTTCCAGGAACAAGGTTTCTTTTGGCAGTAATCCACTTCTGGCGCTCCCGAAGTCCAGGAAGATACTCCTTCACCCAGCACTTCCAGAACAAATTCGAGATATACTGCACTTGTTTCCAGCGACGACGACTATAAACATCCTCCTTCTCGAACAATCCTGGTGGCAACAACGGTTGCGACTTAAGCAGGAGCAGATGGTTAGGAGTCAAAGCCTCCAAGTCTTGAGGATCTGTTGATGCCTTGGTTAAAGGGCGGCTATTAACAATAGCTTCAGCCTCACAGAACACTGTCACCAAGCCTTCTTCATCCAGAGTCTGAGTCCTCAAAATAGAGTTTAGCACCTTACGGACTGACCAAATAAGCCTTTCCCAAGCACCTCCATGATGGGATGCTGTAGGGGGGTTAAAAACCCATTTTACATTCCTTTGTAACAGCACGTCATTGATGAGGTTATGATTCAGATTCTCTATGGAATTCCTCAATTCACGCTCAGCACCCACAAAGTTAGTGCCATTGTCCGAATGGATTCCCAAGACTTGACCACGTCTCGCTGAAAACCGTCTCTTGACCAGAGCTCTTCCACGTTTGACTTCAAATGGTACATGTACATGATGGAGAATAAGATTGGAGATGTGCTTATCTTTTGCCAGTATAACTAAATGTTTTGCTTCAGCTGGCACAGCTGCTCTACTAAGCCGTCCTCCGACTCTAATGAGATCACCATCCAGGATCGGGTTGAGCTTATAGAGGCGGCTCGTCCTCCATACACACTCTCCTTTCTTCAAATTGGCCAGTTCCTCCGGAAACATTGTTTTTTGGCAAAAACGGATAATACCGCTGCGTCTATGTCCTCCATAGACAGAAGACACTTTGGCACTTGAGCCTTAAATCCTTTCATACGGACCTGTAGCTCCTTTTCCAATTGCTCAGCACTTTGGTCCGATTCAGAAAGGGTTCTTCTCAGCAGCTTTCGATGTTGCACCAGAGACAGAAGTAAGGTCTTAAACTTGAGAAGCCAACCAACAGCCCTTTTAAGACGGAACCAGGAGGTAAAGTATTCAATGAGCTTCTCCACTGGACTGACCTGCTCAACCTGAGCCACATTCACCATCACAGCCTTGACCTCTGGGTCTCCAATCAGAATGTGTTCCAAAGTCTCAGGATTTTGGGGCCACTTGCTCTCAGGCTCATGAAGAAAGTCAGGACCATGGAGCCATGCATCAGTCTTCAGCAACGACTGAACCTTAACACCTCTGGAGGCTAGATCTGCAGGGTTGGTTAACGTACTCACATACCTCCATTGAGATGCATTAACCAACATCTCAGACATGAATGCAATATAATCGGAGCAAAAAGATGGATCCTTATTCAGACGTCTTTTAAGACTCAGTGCACGTTGTTCTGCCACTGTCCTATTGTTTGGCATTTTGCGGTGACTTTGCTTCATCGGCAAACCGATACTATAATGACCATCAATGAGCTTAGTAGACTCTGAGACCAGCTCGATGAAGCGCTTATCCTAGACTGACAGACCAGGTTGTTCATCCTGCAAAGTTTCAGGGAAATCCACCTTCAGCTGCTTCTCCCAAAGCTCATCAAGCCTCGCCACTGAGATCCGATTAACTGTAATGTCGGGCTGCAATCCTTGTTCATTGATATGACAATCTCCACGGAGCAGGCCATTCACCGTCCAACCCAGGATGATCTTAATTGCATAAGGGCCCCCGTTCTCTGCACGAACCACCTCCCACGGCTCCAGAGCTTGAGGAACATTAGTGCCAATCAGAAGATCCACATCAGAATTGATCTCTGGTATTTTTATGTGCCTTAGGTGCGGCCATCTTTGAAGGTCCTTTGAGCTTGGAATGTTACCTCGATGAACCGGCATGTTCTGCTGGGTAAAAATCTCAGACAGGCCACAGAAGTTGTTTAAGTCCAGCCCGGCGACTTCCAAGTCTGACAACTTGTAACTGTCAACCACTTTCTCTTGTCCCATAGTCCTAAGGAGAATTCCCAACTTCTTCCCTGTAAGATTGAGCCGAGTCATGAACCGCTCCGTACAAAATGAGGCGGTATTCCCGGGGTCCAAAAATGCATATGTGACCACAGTCTCCTGTCCCCTCTTAGATTTCACTTGAACAGGCAATATAGAGAGCGTACAGTCCTTCTTGCCGGCCCCAGTCAAGCCACCAGACTGAGCAGACACCACGGCACCGTCTCTGGCCATATCCAAACCGCCATTGGCCTGAGTCGGACTCGTTGGTTTTGCTGTGGGGTGGACATGCAACAATGTGGGATGCATATTGTTGCATACTTTACATGTCATACGTTTTCGGCAGTCTTTACTCATGTGTCCGACGCACAGACATCCAAAACACATACGATTCTCCTTCAAAAAGGAAATTTTCTCATCTTGTGTTCTTTTATCCAAACTGAAACAAGCATCTAACGAATGCCCAGCTCCACAAAACAAGCAAAGTTTCGCTAGCGAGTTCTTCTCCCGTTTAAACCCAGGCTCCACCTTATTCTCAGCCGGTGCTACAGTAGTAGCGAAACTACTGCCTCCAACCTTTAAA